AGAAGAAGAAGAAGATGAGAGGGGGAGGAGGAGGAGGAGTGAAGAAGTCGTGGAAGAAGAAAAGCAGAAGAAGAAAAAGAAGAAGAAGAAGAAGAGAGGGGGAGGAGGAGGACAAGAGAAGAAGAAGCAGAAGAATGAGCGGAGGAGGAGGAAGAGGGAAGAAGAAGAAGAAGAAGAAGAAGAAGAAGAAGACCGGCACTCCACGTCGACGGGCGGCAGGGGATGTCGGCAGGCAGGAGCACCACGATCGACGACGCTGGCGAAGGGCAACAGGTGACATGACGACGACGGGCGAGTGAAGCTCCCAGGCGATGGCGACGAGGGCAGCTACTTCGACGAGGGGCAGCAGCATAAACACAGGCGGCTGGAGCAGCTATCGAGGCCCCGTTTGGACAGCCAATGCAGGCCGCCCCAGCCAGTCGCTAGTTCAAACGGGGCCTCCGTTTCCCTCCAAAAACGAACGGCCCTCTGGCCGTCGATCATGGCCAGAGGGCCGTCCCAAGTTCAAAAAATAAAAAACAGGCCTCACATACCCGATGCCCCGTTTTCTCGGCGTGGTCGGACCCGGTAGGCCCTGGGGAGACCAAAACCACCCGATGTGGGGTCGGAAACTCCCCGCCAACAAGGTATGTTGGGGGTGCCTGGCCCCCAACCGGGCCGCCCGCCCGGCCAGGCCGCCCGGGACCTCCCCCGGGCGGGCGCCGGTCGGCCGGGCGGCCCGGATCCGTACTCAGGTTCACACACATAACAACAATCTAATCAGAATCAGGTTGTACTGTTTTCTCAGTTAGAGGGAAGGGTTAGGACAGATAGCAGATTAGTACTTTGTGTCTGTAGGCATTCAGGGAGGTTGCAGACAGCAATCTACAGCAAAACAGCACGTGTTCACTTTTACCGCACGCACAACCGATCAGGAAAAAAAAACAATAATTTCATACCAGATCCATTCCGGATCTTCCCATGAACACCAGCACGATTAGCAAGGCAAGAAACCCGAGTCCATACGCACAAAAAAAAATAACTGCGGCGGGACATCGTTCAGTTTTGCAAAAAATAAAATAACCCGTAGTTTGCAGGCCGCAAACCGGCGGGTAGACTGTGTGGACTTGATTAGGCTGACGGCACAGAATTACTGCGCGGACCGTTCTCACACGACTGAACGACCACTTTTGGACTGACCACATCAGTTGCACTGACACTAGATCTGACACGGCAGACTATGACAGGACAGATCAACAGACAGGACGAACACCGCAAACATAGCTTGTGCGTAGGCTCACGACCCACGGTCAATAGCAGGCAAGGTCAGAGGGGAGTCAAACCGCTGACGACCCCCTGATGACACAAACTAAGGCAAGGACCCCACAGGACCGCGGAAAGGAAAAACTTTGCCACAAAACCGTTTCCAGGACCCCACAGCCTGCCGCAAATGTCCTGGAAAATGAAATTTCTTCCACAAACCCTTTTCCAGAACCCCACAAACCGAAGACTGCGGCTTGGAAAAAGATAGTTTTGTGTTTTCACCAGGGCTGTGTCGGCTACCGGCCGGTTGGACCCCCGGTGGTCCAACCGGAATTCCAGTTGGGCCCAAAAGTGGGTCAATTTTTTTATGTTACTTTTTTTGAAAACATGGTTGGACTTCGCTCGCCGAGATCTCCCCGAATCCGCAAAGAAAACTTTCAAGTTTGAACAGAGAAGGTTGGTTTCTTTTTTTGGGGGGGGGGTGGGTGGGGCGTTCAGGGGTTGGGGGCCGGGGAACATTCTCTCTCTCTCTCTCTCTCTCTCTCTCTCTCTCTCTCTCTCTCTCTCTCTC